CCCCCCCCCCCCCCCCCCCAAAAGAAAAAGACAAAATCTGTTTCATTTTTTCAGTCAGTCCCGTAACCAAACGCAGAGTCAGAGGTTTTGTGTGTCATAACAAACCAGACAAACTGTGAGTCAGTCACAAAAATAAACAAACACATGACTTATGACGGAGTTTATTTGGAAGATTTATTACATTCATTGTTTTGGTGTACCAACAGGATTTTGAATTCGAGACACTGTTAATCCAAATGTACTGTATGAAAATAGAAATAATAAAAAACAGTGCAAGATAAACATTTGATCAATATTTCAGTATTGATAGCTACAGTAAATATGGGGCATGTTTTGGTCAAATAGTAAAATGTTTAAAGACATTATGATACTTATAGGTGATAACATGAAAACAATACACAAAGAACTCACACAGTTTACAGCGGTTTAAAAAAAACAACCCCAAAAGATCTAAAACAATAACAGCTCAGTGGTGTCTTTTTTTCAATGTCTACATGACATCGTTCTTACAAAGTAGTGTTGATGTTTGATCAAAAGAAAAAAAAAGAAAAAAGTCATGATTTACCTTTTCCACAATTCAACAAAGTAAATCTTCCACCTTTGAGCAGGTACAACTTTCCAGTTTGTGTTGCACCACACGGTAAAGACGTGACAAAATAGAAATAGAATAGAAACCCTTTTTATTGTCATATACATATACACATACACGAAATTTGACCCATCCCTATATATAGGGAGCAGAGGACTGCCAATGATAGGCGCCCGGGGAGCCGGGAGTTCAGTGTCTTACTCAGGGACACTACGACACGTGGCACGTCCCAGTCAAGGATCGAACCGTTGCGGTTACCAGACAACCCTCTTAACCCAGTGAGCCACGGTTGCCGAGAGTAGCTATGCTCGGTATCTGTCTGTAAACAAAGTGTTGCCGTCACTACGTCTCGGCATGTTCGTGGCAGGGTGTGTAAATAAAGTTTCGTGGGTACCAGCTCACGACAGCAAATGTTATTTTGGGGCCTTGTCTCTTCTGCTTTGTTTGTGCTGTACAGCAGGCAGTGACAAGGTTTACTATACTTCTCAGATGAGTACAAGAAGTGAAATCAAAATGAAGGTTTCTGTCAGTCTGGGAAAATATCTGGAGACGTTTTTCTCTCATAGCTTTGGTGTATGCGTCCTCAGCGAGGCGAGGTCACCGCTTATCACCACCAGCAACACATTATCTCGGTAAGACAGCCGGATTCTAAGTCAACAGCTTTCCCAGAACAAAACAACCACGTCCTCCTGAAATAAACAGCGAAAACACAGTTGTAGATCATATACCACAATTCCTTATCGACTGTGAACTTTACTGTGATTATAACGTTACACGATTGAGCAATCTCATAACAAAAAGAGACACAGGGATATAATACAGCCTAAACAAAAGGGGTCAAAGGTCATTATTCTTAGGTGAAGAATCTAGTTACTTTCTTGTGGAAGTCTGTACACATGACATCTACTGCATGTCTGTCCCTCCTGGGAGAGGGAACCCTCCTTTTCCCCCCAAATTCAAGTTATTTATCCAAATCTAAATTAAGGGTCTAAGGATAGAGGGTGTCGTATGCTGCACCGATTGTAAAACCCCTTCAGACAAATTTGTGATATTGGACTGTATGAATAAAATTGATTTGATGTACCCCCACTGCAAGAAACTAACAGTTAACATCTTTAGAAAAACAGAATAATTTGGTAAAAAAGATACTTAGAGAGGGCCTCAATTAAGGCACAAACTGTGTAGCATTTCAAGGCTAAGGCAGCGATGGACTCTGTGATTATCCGTGTAAATATGAAGTTAGCTACATACTGAAGGATTGACTTTTGAGAGTTTTTTCAGCGTCTAAATCTTCAGGCCGAGTGAACACAGACGTAGAAGTTCTTGTGCTCCTCCCAGTAGTGGAGCTCATCTGTGAAGCTCCGGGAGCAGGCCAGGTCTTTGCTGGTTTTGACCGTGTGGACCACGCAGGCGCCGGGCAACTTCTCAAACAGGACCTCAGCTACACCCACCACCGTGAGCTTCTTCTGACTCTGGATCAGCTGCTGGATGTGATTGCTATCCACAGGCTCGGGCGAGGAGCTGTAGGACACCCAGACGTTAAGTTTCTCATCTGATGAAGGGACCTGGAAGCGGCTCTTCCCGGTCGGGCAGTGGTAATCCTTCTTGTTGGCAAACATGCCTGAAGTGGACTTGAAAATACGCACGGACCAGCCCACCCAGTCATACTTCTTCTTTAGTTTCTCTACTATAGCATCAGCTAGCTGCTGGTTGGTTAAGTTTGACTCGTCTCTCACCAGTCGAAGGGAGTCCATCTCAGCCTGTTTGGGGAAGCTGATGATGCAGTCTTCAATGACTTCATTCATTTTAAGCTGGACAGTCTTCATCTTCTCACCCCAGTCTTTCAGAAGCGCGTCCTCCTCGTCGTACCCCTTCAGAGCGGCGTGGCCCAAAAGAGCGATGAGCCCGATGCAGAACAGCTTCTTCAGCCTGGCGCAGAAGTCCTCCACCGGCCGGCGACTTTTCTCCTCGTAGTTCAGCGTGATCTCGAGCACAGATTCCCCAGAGAAGTTATCTCCCGTCACAGAGTTGTAGAGGGTGATAAGGTTTTTGTCACCACCGGTCTTGGCAAAATGATCCAGGAAAAGCTTCTTCTTGACCTCCCGGAACTTGGGTTTGGCGTTGAGGATGTCCATGTACTTCCTGAACTGGTTAGTGATGTTCTCCTCCACTGGGAAATACACAGCATCCAATCCGCTCTTCTTAATCTCCTCGTTGATCCGCTGGATCTCCTCGGAGGCCACCTCCAGACGTTCTCGCACCTTCTGAAACTGCTCCTTCATGAACACCGCCTCTTTGCTTTCCACATTGTCCAGAGCCAGTTTAACGATTGGAGCGGCGATGGCGAAAATGGGGAAAAGGTCGCCGGCGATGCTGGCCACCATTTCAGCTCCATGTTCAAACACTTCCATCACAGTCTCCACCATATCCTTTCTATCCGCTACAAGCTGTTGTAGCTGGCTTGCCATCTTTGCTGATGTCTCTCAGACTGATTTTAATAAGAGAAAGATATTGATATGGTTAGAAACAGTCTGTTGTGATAATTAAGCAAGAAAACCTCCTCTAAGAACAATCAAACAGGTCAAAAACTGAACACAAATGAGACAGAAAGTATAAGACAAAACACATGTGTTTTATTGATCTACTTACTGTTCTGTTTCAGTGTAGTTAGACTGCGGCCTGCTTCCTCGCTCCTCTTAGAACACAGCAAAAACTGATAAGGAAAGAGAGAAACAGCCAAGTGAGCTTAAAGTGCTGGCTGATGGCCACACCCAGTGAGCAATGACTCAACAACGCAAAGGGAATTCAGCAGTGGCGGAGGGCCGGTCTGGGCTGAATTGCTTGTATGTTATTTATATGTAAATCGACAGTTTCATTGAGGTGGTGCAATAAAACTTTTAAGTTTACGTTGTGGGAATTAGGGAGGTATCTGTTATTAGTCTTAAACAAGCAGTGGAGTCTATCCTTTCAAGTATAACTTGTGAAGACAACATGGAGAAGGGCTGACTGACTAACTACTGCGGTGGAAAAAAACTATTTAATAGTACCGAGTGAGTCCTATGATACTGAAATTAAGAAACATTGAGAAAGAAGCTTGTCTTTAATGTATTTATTCTCTGCGCAGAGAAGGTTAAATCATCATACAGATTGCAATGCGGTCTGAGGGAGGAATGAACCCAGAGTGTTGGTTGTGTACGACTTATAGCACGTGGTGGGGTAGGAGGAGTTCATCACTACTGTAAGTTAGGACAGTAGTTATTCTGTCCGTAAAAAAGTCATATTTTGTCTTCGGGTAAATCATTGTTTTCAAGGGGCCTAACATAATACAAATATAAAAAGGGTTTAGTGATGCTAGATGGGTCCTTATATCAAGGAAATTACATCCTGTCTTGCACTGGAAAAACAAGAGGATTTGGAAAATCTTATTTAACAAAACAGCTCCTCCCAAAGATCAGGAAATGGAGAAAAAGCTGACTGTGAGAGCAACCCATATCATTTCCTAGGCATGTTCAGACATGTCCTTTTGCAAAACTGGAAATGTGTAATTTGGGTGGAAATCTAAATGATGGTACACTCTTCTACTGGCTTCACACCCTCGCATTCAATGTCAACACAGCAGCTCAAGCTAATGAAGCTGTCCTCATGTGTTTTAATTCATGTTTCTGGCATTCGGAGAGTTTTTTTTTTTTGTTAATTGTGGCTGAAGGAGGAGCAGCAGCAGATCTGTTTCTCCTTCAGCCAGCCCAGTCAATAATGAAGCAGCAGGCGTGGGAAGTGATTAAGTGTAAGAGGTTAAACTTGCTGGGCAAGGGTGCGTTTTCCAGTGAAACTCAGCAAGTTACCTCAGCAACAAGACAATGGAAAAGAATCTGTCAGCTCGTTCCTCTCTCTGCGGAGGTGTGCTCTGTGGGGGTAATCTAGCTAGACTGCAGAAGATTTATGTGACAAGATATCCCCCATTTCTCAGCCTGATGCATCGAACACCTCTGCAGCAGTCAGACACATCTGCAGGCATCCGCAGACAAGAAGGATGTCAACACTAGTAATTCAATTCCAACATGGCTTTACAGATCTGAACAAAGATTTAGGGGGTAGTTCAACATTTTGGGAAATAGGCTTTTTCCCTTTCTTGCTGAGAGTTGATTAGAAGATCGATACCAGTCTCATGTCTGGTTGTTTTGAGATTAAGAGATTTGAACAGCTAGCTGTTTCCCCCTGTTTCCTGGCTTTATGCTAAGCTAACCAGCTGCTACCTGTAGCTTCATATTTAAAGGACAGACATGAGAGTGATATTGATCTTCTCATATACTCTTGGCAAGAAAGACAATAAGGGCTTTTTCCAAATTGGCAAACTATCCCATTAAAGCATCCTTTGAATGTCAACGATGTTCTATATGATATAAAATATGTAACATCTGTATAATCTTTCCTTGTGAGACTTGACAACTAAAACAACAAAGTACAGGAAATTCCAGCAGGATGTTAAAGCATTTACAGTCACTGTATCTCATTTGATTTGACCGTGCTATAACTGTGATTCCTGTTTTCCACTGATGTTATCTATCTCTTTCTCTCAAGGTCCCGGGGGTGGTGTAACTGCAGACTGAGTGCACGTGAAGCACATTCTCACAGTTCAAACATAAAATTGCTTGAAGAAATCACATTTTCAGAAACAGAGAGCTGGAGGTGCATCTCACCAGAGATATGAATGCCAGCCTACAGACACGAATAACAAGTCTTGTTTTTTACGAATATTTCCACTTATATTCAGTGGTGGAAAGTAACTAAAGTACAGATTTACTTGTATACTTATACTGTACTGTAACTTTGAGGTATTGAGTATTTCCATTTATGCTACTTATACTACATTTCAGAGGGAAACATTGTACTCTTTACTCCTCAACTACTTTTCAGATTAAGTATACATTAAACCTTATACCAAAAAAAAGCAGTTTCCAACATTTTTTGTCTTGTGACCCCTCACAAAGAACAGTGTCTACTTTGGGCCCCTTGTTAGGTTCAAGCTGTCTGTGAGTTGTTAGCAAATACACCAAACAAAAAAAAACTGGTTGCCAGTTTGTTTCATTTAATTAACAGTTTGAGGACCAAAGGAATACTACATTTGACAAAAAATGAAAATAGATTTGTGTATAGACGATGTTTTTTCTTGGTTCCTGACCCATTAATCATCTCAAGACCCCTCAGATTGTTATTGTGACCCTTTGGAGGGGTCCAACCCCTAGTTTGGAAATCACTGGACAAAACATGAGTAAGTAGTTAAAAGTAGCTCCACTTCTACCTGCTACAATAGCACAATGTGAATCTGTATTAACTATCTAATAATGCAATACATAATAAGTCAGTCACGGGGGACATTGTTCTGCAGAACAAGTACTTTTAGCTGATAGTTCTTCTGTATTTTGACCAAAGACTGTAGATGTTGACCTACATTTTGAATGCAAGACTTTTACTTGAATGTTTACAGTGGTGTATTTGCACTTGTCTTTAATTACAACTAATAATTTTAGGAAATGCACTGATTGAAAACAACAGGCTACATTAGAAACATGTTCATTTCTTGATATTTTGCAAAGGCAATTCCGTTTAACAACATTTGTGATAATAATAAAAAAAAAACATCTTCATACAAATACAAGATGTCTCTATAAGAGCTCAGATAGTTCATGTTTCATTTATGCTGAGTGGCAGAGCTTCCTCTGAACACAAAGATGACCAAACCCTCTGAGAGCTGACCACTCAGTCTGGCCACCGAGAGATAGACGCGCAGTTAATGCGCCCTCTTAATGGAACATGTATCGATCAGTCCGTGTACAAGGGCTCTAATTGTATCATTGTACAGCCGATGGACAGAGAGCCAAACAAACATCGCAGGTTAACACCACAGACCGGGTTCTCTGTTACAACACAAGTGGATAACGCCTTTCAAAAGTTAAAACACTTCCTGGAAAAAGTGAAGCGGTGGCACCAGATCTGGCAACCAACGCCCATAAAAATCGACACGTTTTAGTTTAAACTGCATTCTTCTTTTTTCTTTTTTTGCAGATTCGTCTAATCACCCACTTCACTTTATTAAAGAAGCCGCGTTAACAAAATACGCGCATTTGACATGTTTTAAACGGCACGTCGGTGCTGTCAAAGAGGGAAAAAAGAAAAAGCTCGATTATGTAACGAGAGGCTGGAATGGAGTCGAATAAGTTGAACCGATCGTTTCCTATTTAAGTGTCTTATCGCTACCACCACAGTTTACCTTCATGAGCCTGTCCACTACGAAGCATTTTGAACAGAAATGGACTCACCTTAAAAAGTTTGCGGAACAAATACAGTAACTTCCAGACTGTTTGTCTTCCTATTGGTCATGTGGCTCTCATGTTACAGAGGCACACCCAGTCAGAAAGAGAAAAAAACAAAAGTTGGGTGGTGGAGCATAAAAAAAAAGTTGTGAGCATAATAGATTGTTGCTGTGGCGATATTATTATCGATCAACCTCCACCCATTTGATAAACAAAGGCCTGTTATTAAAGCATTATGACTGTTGAAGGAGATTTGTTCTCAATTGCAGTCAGCAGAACATTATGCTTCCAAATGAATCATGATTTTCAATAATTGTAATAGGTTTTAACTCAAAAAGTGCGTTTTGAACTGAGTAATGAAGACCAACGATGCCAAAACCATTCAAATTTTTTTGTTTATTACAAATTAAAGTAAAATATACATAAGTATATTGACGAAGTTGATTGTGGAATAAGGATTTTGGGCGTTTGCCGTGCAGCAATATATTGCACCAAAAGCAGCAAGAATATTAGAATTGATTTTGTTTTACACACATTTATATCTAGGAGTGGGCGATATCGATATAATCCGCAAACACAGTATGTCATTTTTTCGTTTTGTGTTATTCTGTATACGTTGTATAGGTGGTAAACATTCTCTTAAATTGAGAAACTGTACAAGGAATGACAAAACAATCCCAACTCAAGGTCCAATTATTTACTTGTTCTAGCCTACAGTTTTCAAATGTCAATAAAGAACTGGGAAGCTTAAAATAACCCAAACGGACAAATCTGGGTACTGCATCCCATCAGTGCAACAGGACAAATCGAATAAGCCATAAAGTAGTCCTGCTCATTGATTTACCGCATTGCCCACAATGGTCCGATACACCTACAGATGTTTAAAGGTATTGAAGGGGAAGGGTGCCTTGGTATAAACTACATGGCAAAGTCCTTCACAGTTAACAGATTAATATCGTCACATCGCCCAACCCTAGTCATATCCAATGGGGACAGAATCATTATGAGAGTCATAACGTTACATCAAAGCTGGCATGGAGATGTACGGCTCTGAAAAAAACCCACCCTGAAGCTGCTGTATCATCATGAAAGATATATGTAAAAGAATAAAAATCATTACAAGCAAGACAAGGAATCACAAACCAGAAACCTGACAGAGCAGGTTATACATCGTCTAAGACAATATTTAAGAATTCATTTTCTATATTCAATGCAAATATTTCCTGGTCTCTGGTAAATCTATTCATAAATGTATGTGTTCATTTTCTTATGTGGCTGCACATTCTGTTTTTCTGTGAGCCTACTCAGAGTGGATACACAGGTAGGCTCTTTTGTGTTTTCCATAGTAGTAACAATCCTCATGAAAGTTGTTGGACTCCACCACCTCCTTGTAATGGCTGACAGCATGGACCAGGCAGTTGGGGAAGCTCCTGTTCAGAACCTGAGCCACATCAATCATGTTCCCCTTCATCTTCTGAACTTCAATCTGCTCCTGGATCTGACTCTTGTTAATGGGCTTGGGGTCGACACAGAAAGAGACTACCACTTTGATCTTGCTCTTGGTCAAAATGTCAAACCAGTTGGCTCCTCCACTTCCGTGGCACTTCTTTCCTGCCAGCCAGTTGAAAAAGAAAATGCGCTCCTTGTCGCTGAAGGCCCTGATGGACCAGTTAACCCAGTCGTATTTCTTAATGAGAGTACCCAGAAGGGATTTGGTGAAATCGAGGTTGACGGCACCGGGATTCTCCTGTAGCAGGTGCTCCATGTCCTGCTTGGCTTGATCGGCAAAGTTCTCTGTACAGTCATCCACAGCTGCTTTCATTCGTTTCTCCACTTCATCCATCCGTCCCTGCCACCTCTTCACCATCTCCTCCCCCACCACCCCTTCCTTGAGGGCGGAGTGGCCCATGACAGCTATAATGCCCACCACGAAGAGCTTCTTCAGCCGGGCGCAGAAATCCTCAACTGCCCTTCTGCTTCTCTGCTCTGTGTTGACTACTGTTTCAAGCATGGGGTCTCCCGCGGTGCAGTCCCCAATGACAGCATTGTATAGGGCGTCCAAGTTCAAGTCGGCATCGGTGTTCTCGTAATGGCTGAGGAACTTCTCCATTTTCTTCTCTTTAAACTTTGGCTTGGCGTTGACAAAGTCCTGGAACTTTTCATACTGGCTGAGCATCTGCGCCTCCCGATCGAAGTTCTGCTTGTTCAACGATGTCTTCTGCAGCTCCAGGGCAATTTGATCGATCTCATCTTGGATTCCCTCCAGTTGCTGGTTGACCAGTTCGAACTGCTGAGTCAGGTAGCGAGCCTCTTTGCTGTCCGGGTTGTTGAGTAGCTCGGCTGAAGCCACGAACACGGCCTCCAAGACGGGGTGAAGCTGGCCCACGGTAGCAGCGAGCACCTCCGAGGCTTGTCCCATGATCTCCACACCTTTCTCGATCTTGTCCCTGTTCTGCACGAGCCAATCTGCCACATTATTCATCTTTGTATTATGTGTTTCACCCTAACTAATCTAATTAGTTTTCCACTGCCAGAGGCTTTGCTGGTGCCTGAAAGAAGAAGAAACATGAAACCCTTGTAAAGTTCATTATAGTCTTATAGATTTTATGACATTTCAGAAAAAATTTGGTGCTTTTTTTCAACTTAAATTTGGCAAAACAAATGTAATCAGCTGACATAGAGTCGTTTTTTTTCTCACAGGACATGTTCCTGACAAACAAATCCCTACAATAAAGCAAACGGCAGGTCATGTCTGCACATGTAGGCATCCAGTTTCATGCCGCACCCTCAGAGCCTCGGCTAATGACAGGGACTCGGGTTTTTTTTTGTAAGCCTTGGTGGCATTGACACATATCAGAAAAAAGCTCATAAAATTACACAAACGAGACACACACGGATGGCAATTCAGGACAAATATCAAACATGTTGTGTGTACTCATGAATTATGACGTATTGTGCAACATTGCAGTATTGGCCCTTTGGGAAGTCTTTTTTTTTAAACTGCTCCAACAATAGCCAAGACCCAAAGCAAACACAGATGTTCACAACATGGTGAAAGAAGGGGATTTACTTTGGTAACGATAGTCTGGTTTTCGACGTAAAATACACAAGAGAGATGACCTAACTCATTTCTCGCTCCCTGGAGCCCATATCCAGTTCAGAAAAAGGCACACCCAGGTCTGAGAGAAGAAAATCCCCACCACTGCACTTGTTCAATAATGCAATCACACTTTCCTAATCATTACAGCACCAATGTAATTAAAAACCCAACACATACAAATGTGTTTTTTGAGGTTTTGGCATGAAAAAAAGAGAGAAATACAGGTTTATATGTGTAACCACACAAAATAGACTCACCAATATTTGCTGCAGTGATGAGATCAGTGGTGTCATTTTACAGCACTACACTAATTAGATCTACTTTATTCAGCCACATGCCATCAGTGCTTTTATCCACATTCCCATGTGATGAAAATAACAAAAAAGTGCACCATTTCAAATTCAAATTTGTAATTACATAACAGAATTCAATTCCATTCTGATTCGAAGGTAAAAAAAAAACCAATAGAAAACAGTGAAAGAAAATACTTAATGAGTAATTATCTTGGTTTGTGTTTGAAAATATCTTCCCTTGTAAAATCAAAAAAAAAGTTTCTCTTCTTAAAGCACTAAAAGTGAAATATATTTTGTGAAAGGAAAAAAGGCGAGTCCAACACAGCACTTGATCAAACACTGATCTCCCCTTTCAATGTGATATGCTTTGCTACAGAGCTACAGAGCTTCAAGACTACATCCCCCAAAGGAATCATCTCTACCTCTGGCACGTCACTTACATTTAGACTTTTCTTCCTGTAGAAAAACAGTTTACTTTCAAGGAAATAAAAAAAGAAAGCCAGCTTTAGTACGGGTGGGAAAAGCTGAACAAACAAAACTGAATATTAAGTTTTTCCTTCTTTCTTTCTTTTTCATTTACCTTTTATGGAAAACTATAAATGATGGTTAAGTGGTGAAGTAGATGATGGAGATGCTGAATAAAGAACTAGAGCAGAAAAACATGAACTCACCTTTCTAGCTAAATATCCAGTGGGCTACGGTCCAGATATCCAGTAGTCCAGCTGTGCCTGTGAGCACCAGCCTCCTTGGGATGTATATATAGACTCTCTCTCTCTCTCTCTCTCTCTCTCTCTCTCTCTCTCTCTCTCTC